ATAATCATCAGACTGAAGGGCTGCACACGTCTTGCTTCCACATCTCAGCAGAATAGCAAGGACCAATTCAGGAAGTGTAAGTTCTAACTCTGATCACCTTTTGGAAATGAGAATATCCCCAAAGGAGCTCCCAGGCCTCCATGAAGGGGTAATGGGGGAGATAGCAATGAATGTTGAGACCTTTTTCCCCCATTTATTTAGGCTGAAGTTAAGGGTTGGGAGGGTTATGAATACCATCCCCACTTTTTACTTTAACTAGTACTGCCCTTTTCTACTGAAGATTGTTAACTCTGCTTTTGACCCTTCTTAGAGATAGCTCATTATCTTTCCAGAACAACTTGTTACTGGTCCTGCCTCTTCTTTAAAAGCAAGTGCTTTTCTAAAGAGGAAGGTAGTATTGGATTGTCCTAACTGTTCAAGAATAGACTCATGCGTTTAAATATTCCCTCTTTTTTCACTTTAAGGGCTCACCCACTGGTAGGAGCATATGGTGGAAGGGAAGCAGACAAACACAAAGCTTTGATACTTTTTTATTTTTTTCTTTGCAAGAGGGACACATTATTTAAAACTCAGTGACATACAATAGACAATGCTCCTTTCAAAGAAAGGCCAGAGCCCCAAAACTTGGAAGAGGGACATTCCTAAACCCTTTGGTGATTATTTTCACCTTTATTCTTAATTAGGCTAACAGTCCTGGCTGCATGTGGCATTCTTGAAAGCCCCCACCCCCACTAACAAATGTAGGGGTTGTGGCTTGATTTCTGGGATTTTTCCTTGGAAAAAATTTCTGGAAGTTGTTGTGATTGATAAAATGTTAAGTTTTGTTAAGATCAGCCTGTGACAAATAACAGAACTGTTGCAGAAGTCCACACAAATTTAAAATCTACAGTCAAAGCATGAACTGTTCTCCCACTCAGATAACTAAAAGTTCTCTGAATCTCTAGGGGGCGGGGGACCTGAAACCCACTTTCCTGCTCTATAAAGAAAAATTTCTTTATAGCAAAATCTCTAAATAATCACTTGTTCAAGAATACTGTGTGACCTCACAGTTCTCCTTAAATGTCTTGAATAATGTGAATATTTGATTTTGCTTCATTTAAAGGAAAGGGTATTGCCTTGTCTCTTTCTCTTTGAATTTTTGTATATTTTCATTTTTCATCTGGCAACTTATTCTGTGTATTTTCTTTTCCTCTTGCACTTTTCCAGAAGTGCTATCATAAAATGATCCATTCTCTTGGCAAAGCCTTAACCTGACTGAATGCTGGTAGTGTGCTTAAGAGCAGCTTTTAGTATCCATATACTAATAGCCGGGAGCTCTGGTAGCGTAGTGCCTAAGGCAGTTGACTGCTAACCAGAAGGCTGGAGGTTCAAACCCACCAGCCACTCCTCGGAAAGAAGATGGGGCAATCTACTTCTGTAGTGATAGTGCCTCAGAAACCCAAGGAGAGGTCACTATGAGTTGGGTCCGACTCAACGGCACATAACAACAACAACAATACTAATAGTCTGTTGATCAATAACCACTCCTTCAGAGAAGCTCTGTAATAAAGAGAAATAAAGAATATAGGACTGGGAGAAAAAGCAAAATAAATTAGGAAATCAAATATACTACTAATATCCTTCAATTTCATAATATAAATATAAAATAGAGAGTATTTCTTTGAAATAAAGAAAATAGGACTGAAAGGAAAAGCAAAATAAATCAGCAAATCAAATGTGCTCCTAATATCCTTCCATTTCATACTGATTTTTCAATTTAGTCCGCTGCGATCCCCAAACTCAGACCTCTGGAGTCTTGCTAATTCTGTTAATGATTTGTCAGGATTGACTAATTGTGCCCTGTAAACTCAGTCTCTTTCTTAGTCTAAGGCAAACAGTAAGGCTTATCAAATATAAATGCAAGAATTGAATAGCTCATTTCAATTTTTCTCTAACTATAAAAGAATGGAGGCAAATGGGAAGGATGACCCAGATTCCTTGGAATGTTCTACTTGAAATTAATGCAAAAGGACTAGAATATATCAGTGAAGCACATACAAATAGGTAGAAATCTTCCTCTGTGTAGTCAGGCTCCTTTTAGGTGTGTGTGTGTGTGAGAGAGAGAGACAGGTCCTTGAAAAAGAAAGGCTTCTTTATGACACATGCTGACTGACATTTTAATTGTTATAATCAGGGATTAATTTTAGGGGAATCTTAGGAAAATTTACTTGATTAAGAAAAACAAAATAAATATAATATTTCTAAAAAGAAATATTTCAATTAAAACATTTCTAATCACCTGATCAAGAAAGCTATAATAATTTGCAGCTTTTCTTAAATGTCTTGAACAGTGGACATCTGATTTTGCTTTCTTTCAAAGAAAGAGTTTTTCCCTTGTCTGCTTATCTTTTAATTTTTGTACTTTTGAGTTTTTAATTGAGCTGCTCTTGATTGTTGTAGTCCATGTATACTCTTCTCCTTTTCCAGCAGTGCTGTTGTAAAATGATACATTTCCTTGGTAAGGGTAACACATCAGAGAAAGAACTCTTGTGTAGGCAGTTATCTTCAGTAAAATAAAAAAAAAATCAAAATTAAACTTTGTGTTTTACTGACCTGGATCATTTGGTAAAATTGCATTTCCATTACTTTCATATTTGTTTTGTCAAATTACTGGATAACTTTAGTGTGCTACAGATAAAAGACAAAGAAGATCATTTCTGTCCCCCAAAAGGTTGCTGTGGTGGGGTGAGCAAAGGAAAACAATTGAAATGTGGCATGTGGCAAGTATGTCATCAAATGAAGGTGAGCACAGATTGTTGGGGAAGTTGGGAGTTTTTAGAATGGAGAAGGCTGAGAAGCATGAGAAAACTGACTTGCTGCTGAAATTGGGAGCAGTTCAGTATGGTAGAAGTTTAAAATACATCTAGGAGATACCATGAGAGATGAGGTCAGAGGGGCATGCAGGGATTAGTTCAAGAAAAGCCTCAAAGTTCATCCTAAAGAGTTGTGATTTCTTCTATAGGCCAATGTTATCTTATACAGACACTTTATTGGGAGAGAAAATTAATGAGAGAATAAATGAACAGTTTTAACAGATCATGCAAAATAGAATATACTCAAGAATATAAAAGAAAAAAATTAATGCAGGGAATTGAATACACAAGTGATGGAAGACAAATGGGATGGTAAAACCACCCAGGGATTAGCAAGAGCAGGAAATCGTTACTTCCTCCCTGGTGGCACAGTGCTTAAGGTATTTGACTGCTAATCAGAAAGTTGCCTAAAGAAAGATGGGGCAATTTACTTCTATAAAAATTCACCGCCTTGGAAACCCAATGATCTCCCATTGAGGACCCCTAGGGGTACAGTGGTTAAGCACTCAGCTGATAATTGAAAGGTTGACAGTTCAAATCCACCAGCAGAAAAGACCTGGAGATCTGCTCCCATAAAGATTACAGCCTAGGAAGTCCTATGAAGCTGTCCTATTCTGTCACAAGGGGTGCTTTGAGTCAGAATTGACTTGAGGGTACACAGCAGCAACAACAACAACATTGTAGGTGGGTGCTGTTATGATTATAAAATACAGATTCATTTGAAAAATGTTCTGAATTAATAGCAGCAGCTTATTTGTCATTATGACTACATTCAAAAGGTACTACTATTATGATGTGAAAAAAAAAAAACAACTCACTGCCATGAAGCCAATTCTGACTCATAGCCCCCCCCCCCATTGAGTTTCTAAGGCTGTAAATCTTCACATAAACAGATCACCCCACCTTTCTTCCTCAGAGAGGCTGGCTGGTGGGTTTGAACCACACACCTTTCTATTAGCAGCTAAATACTTTAACCGTTACACTACGGTGTTAAAGCTCTGAGTACTTTTTCCAACTTCATAAGAGGTGTCTTATATTAGAAATCAATATATTATATTGTTTAAAGCAACCTAGAAATATTGAGAATGATATGATCATATTTGAATTTTATAGTCTCTGTATAGTGAAATACAACAGCCCTTGAGTACAGGTACTATCTTGCTGGTTTTTCTTTTTCCCCAGCACAAATCCTTGTTCCTGACATATTGTTTTAAAATGTTTGTTGAATGCATGTTTGATCTTGAAATAGGAATTTTTGTTTACTGCTATAGCTGTAGAATTTAGAACTATACCTGGCATATGATAGATGATCAATTATATTTAAGTGAATGAATGAATGAGGAAAAGGAAGAGAAGAGGAAGGGATATGAATTAGAAGTCTGTTACAGTAATGAGAAACTGAGAAGGACAAAATTATTGTGGTTGATATGGTGAGGAGAGGAAAGATGAAAGAGATATTTAAAAAGACCAATCTGAACAACAAAAAAAGTCTAGGCACCAGGCAAAGGTTTTAACATTTGTCACTTTCCTGTGGAATTTGTAATTTGAAAAATATATATACTGAGGAAACATTTCTTTCTTTAACTACCTTAAAATAATTTGATGGATTTATAAACCAAAAAAACAAACTCACTGCCGTCGAGTGGATTTTGACTCATAGTGACCCCTCCTTGGGTTTCCGAGGTGGTATCACTACGAAAGTAGATTGCTCAACCTTCCTTCAGAGGAGTGGCTGGTGGGTTTGAACCTCCAGCCTTCTGGTTAGCAGTCAGATGCCTTAGGCACTATGCCACCAGAGTTCCCAATGGATTTATAGCAGTTATAAATTTATAACAGTCATTCCACTTAAAATGAGTTTAATAAATTTAGTAGCATTCACATTGTTATTGTGTCTATACTATAAGTATTTCATCTTTACCATCATAGTACATATTTCCTGGATAAAATTCACTTGATCCATACTTAGAATAGATTTACTAAAGCACTTGATTATTAAAATGTTCTACTATATGAAATATTAGGGATCAGAGGACATGTATTTTGAGACTCAACCAAAATTAAAACAGCTCATTTGTGATACTTCTTTGCCTTACTCTTGTGTCATAATTTTTCCATCTTTGTTCATTATTCTGTTGTAGGCCCTGTGCTAGTTGCAGTCCAAGTGGAACTGTGCTGACCATGGGGCCAATAGGTTCAGAGGCTGATGAGAACCAGACAGTGGAGGAAGTAAAGGTGGAGCAGTATGGGCCAGGGCAAACCACTTCTAGAAATGAGCTGGTCCCTGACCCTGAGCCAGAGCTCATAGACAGCACCAAGCTGATTGAAGTACAGATTGTCCTCATCTTGGCCTATTGCTCCATCATCTTGCTTGGGGTGATTGGCAATTCCTTGGTGATCCATGTGGTGATCAAATTCAAGAACATGCGCACAGTCACCAACTTTTTCATTGCCAATCTAGCTGTGGCTGACCTTCTGGTGAACACCCTATGCCTGCCCTTCACTCTCGCCTACACCTTAATGGGGGAGTGGAAAATGGGTCCTGTCTTATGTCACCTGGTACCCTATGCCCAGGGCCTGGCAGTTCAGGTATCCACAATCACCTTGACAGTGATTGCCCTGGATCGGCATCGATGCATTGTCTACCACCTGGAGAGCAAGATCTCCAAGCACATCAGCTTCCTGATCATTGGGTTGGCCTGGGGCATCAGTGCCCTTCTGGCAAGCCCCTTGGCCATCTTCCGGGAGTATTCTCTGATTGAAATTATTCCAGACTTTGAGATTGTAGCCTGTACTGAAAAGTGGCCTGGTGAGGAGAAGAGCATCTATGGCACTGTCTACAGCCTTTCCTCCTTGTTAATCCTGTATGTGTTGCCTCTGGGCATCATATCTTTTTCCTACATTCGCATCTGGAATAAACTTAAGAACCATGTTAGGCCTGGAGCTGCAAATGACCAGTACCATCAGCGAAGGCAGAAAACCACCAAAATGCTGGTGTGTGTGGTGGTGGTGTTTGCCGTCAGCTGGTTGCCTCTCCATGCCTTCCAACTTGCTGTTGACATTGACAGCCAGGTTTTGGACCTAAAGGAGTACAAACTCATCTTCACAGTGTTCCACATCATTGCCATGTGCTCTACCTTTGCCAACCCCCTGCTCTATGGCTGGATGAACAATAACTACAGAAAGGCTTTCCTCTCAGCTTTTCACTGTGAGCAGAGGTTGGACTCCATTCACTCTGAGGTGTCTGTGACATTTAAGGATAAAAAGAACTTGGAAGTCAAAAAGAATAATGGCCCCAATGAGGCTACTAATGTCTGAGGAAGCAGGTGTGTGAAAATATATGAATGAATTTTGACCAGAGCTATAATTCTGGCTGATAAAGGCTGCCAGGGGATGAAGGCCTCCTGATTTCTCATTATAAGGAAGAAAACAAACATCTGAATTGAAGCATCTGCAGTGTATTTGCTAGAAAATTGACTGATGGAGCCTAGTGAAAATACTTCTATTCAAAGATAGGACAACAAAATACTTCACTTACAGTTGCTTGGATGGTAGATTGGATTATGAGTAAAAGCAGAGAGAAACACTTTTGAATAATTTTTAGTGTGATGTAAACCTGAAAGTTGGCAGTTTTAGCATTGAAAAAGGAGAGTGAGGTAAATAAATTCACCTATTGACTTTCAAATCACATCAGGACCTAGATTGGGAGCATGCTGTGTTTCCCCCTATTCTGATAAAAAAGACTTTCAAACAGGAATTTCTCTACGGAGTGGTGTATTCTCCTTTATTGTATTTTGGTTTTATTTTTCTTCCTATAGATTAAATCCATCAGGGAATGTGGCAGGTAAATATTGCCAACTATTTGAATGACTTCAAGGAAATAAACTGAAATTTGCTTTGTAATAGCATTTTTGCAAACGATGGGGGAAATATTTAACACCAAGTGAGACAATTGTTCTTAAAGCAAAATGCATGTTTGTAAGTACATTCTTTAACTCCAAATCAAAGTGTAATTTTTTTCAGAATTATGCAAATGTAAACAATCACTTAATTTCTAATTTTAAGTTGCTCCTGCTTTACAGAGATTCTATTTAGATAATTAAGAAGCATATGACATAAGAATTTTAATTGTTGCTAATTGTTATAACCTTTTGAACATGTATAATTTCTGTTCTTATTCCTGGGAAGAAAGGTTGGGCAATCCTACTTCCATAGTGATACTGCCTCGGAAACCCAAGGAGGGGTTGCTATGAGTCAGGGCCGACTCCACGGCAAATAACAACAACAACAACATTCCTATGTTGGAGTTAAGTTTGTCCTCACTAAAAATTAAACCAAAAAAAAAACAACTCACTGCCATTGAGTGGTCCCAACTCATAGAGACTCCTCCTTAGGTTTCCGAAGTTGTATCTCTACGGAAGTACATTGCCCAACGTTCCTTCTGAGGAGTGACTGGTGGGTTTGAACTGCCAGCCTTCTGTCTAGTAGTTAAAGGTCTTAAGCACTACACCACAATTAGAAAATAATTTTTATAGCATTTTATAAAATTTTTTGGTTATTTGTAAGCCATTTTTTTGCACATGTACATAGCTCTAATGTGTTTACAGAACACTGCAGTGTTATTTTCTTTGACACTGATCTTCCAGGGCCCATTCATTGTAAATAGAACAGCAAAATTTCATCAAAATGAAATTTATCTGATAAGAAATATTAGAAATATTGGATTCATTCCACCTTGCAAATGTTCCATTTAGACCAATTTAGACAAAAGTTATTTATTCTCTTCTCAAAATGATTAGCTATAATTTTGGATAATTTAGGTATATATACATAATAAAATTTTACTTATAAATAGTAGAATATAGATGCTATAATCTTTTACACCTAATGATTTTATGAATATAATTTCAATAATACCAGCCACAAATAAAAGTTGTTATACTCATGAATAATAATTGAGATGCTAAAATAGTTGTACTTTTTAGTGCTGTTAAAGAAGTTTCATTGAAATCATATTTTGTTAAGAATTACTACATTTGTAAGTAAGTTCCTTCCATTTTAAATAAATTCAGCATGATTATTACAGTTAGTTACAATCATTAGTTTTATGAACCTAAGTTTTATTTTATGGATATGTTTAGAATTTATATTATGACTTTAATTTAATTTAAATTCCTTCCACGCTAGAGATAACAGACAGTTTTTGATATGGATGACAGTTTTGGAATACTGAAAAAGATTGGAAACAATAGAAGTTTGAATATATGGGTGACAGATTAATATACAAAAATAATGTATATCTGTACTATGTCGTATAATTGAAGAATTAATTTTTCTATTGGACTCAATTGTCTTTTTGTTTGTTAAACAGCAGTAACTTTGCTTACGACCCTAATGGATCATTATAAAGTTTTGTTTTTTCTTGGAGAATTTCTAAGCTGTAGGAGATATGTATGTTACTGTATCAACTGTTGTGGTAATAAATTATTAGAGACCAATTAATGATCCAATTGATATGATTGGATTCTGTTATTTCTGTCAATTCATTAATATCTTTTCATGAAGTGATTTCATCTGTTTAAATAAAAAAGAAATTGAGAAATTGTCTGATATTAAATCAGTGTTTCTTGTCCAAGAAGTGGAGATGAGAGAAGGAGACAGGACCATGAGACAACTTGAAAAAAGGAAAACAAAGATGGCTCCTTGTCAGTGAGATGAGCTTCTTCCTCTTTCCATGCTTTACACAAATCTGATTCAATTGATCTGCTCTTATGGCTACAATTATAATACATATTCTGATGACATCTGAATATTTTTTGACCAGACCATTCTTCTGAATTTCAAGTCTGTATCTCCATCAACCAACCTGACATGTCTACATGGATATCTCACCAGCAGGTGAAATCCAACATGTCTACAACATAACTTGCCATTTTGATGCACACCTCACCCCACCCCCACTTTGTCCTCCTATATTTCCTGTCCCCATCATGACACTGCTATGCATCCAGTTCCCAAAAGCCATAAACTTTGTAGTCATTCTTGACTCTTCTGTCTCCTTGTCTCACATTTTCAATTAATTCCCACATATTGTTAGTTCTAGTTTCTAGATGTTTCTTGAAGTGATTCTCTTTTCTCTATCAGCATGATCCCTACCATTGTTCAGTTATGTTTGTCCCCTCAGGCCCTTGTTATCTCTCTGATATAGATTTCTTTAGCACCTTTCTAACTGGCCTCTCTATGTCTAATAGAACCTTAACCTCTAGTTAGAATGCTTTTTCAAAAATTTTAATTTTATCAGTTTAAAACTATTCAGTGTCTCCTCTTCATTTTTATTATGAGCTCAAAATCTTTCTAAGACTTGATGGCTGTTTAGTACATGGTTATGCCAACATGTTTTATACCTTAAAAAATATCTCTACCTTCACTCTTTGCTGTGAGATTTTAAGCATCATGGAGAGAGGATAGGGACTGTCTTAATCATTGTTGTATCACAGATATTTGCAGTTTCTGGTACCAAATTGGAATTCAATAACTACCCATCAAGGGAAACTAAACTGGCAATAAAATAAATACTAGACCTAGGATCTGAAGATAGTTCTCTATGGTTATAAACCATAATCTTTTCCCAGTAAATTATATGAGTTCTAGGAAAGTAAGGTTTTAACTACATGGAAGTCCATTAAAGATGAATATTTGTGAAGAGTAAGATTCTTTTTAAATGAACACTTGCATACTTGGAAAGAGTCCTGTACATAGATTCTTTTTATGGCTCATTCAAAATTGTCCAGTACCTTATCACCAGGGAAATATAGAGGAGCCAATGATGTGAGTCAGTTGGGATTCAGTTCAATTAGGGAAAGAGAAACGGTTACAGATATTTCAAGCAGAAAGTAAATTAATACCAAAGAGAAAAAAAAACAAAATACATTCCTCTTGAGTTGATTTCAACTCATAAAGACCCCATATATTTCAGAAGAGACTGCTCCATACAGTATTCTTGGCTATAATCTTTATGGAAGCAAGATCACTAGACTTTTCTTCTATGGTAAGTCTGGGTGGGTTCAAATTGCCAAACTTCAGTAGTCAGGCACAAACTGTTTGTGCCACATAGGGTCCTGGGTGATTTAATATGGGGGATTAATATCTTACCAAACCTCTGAAGGGGTAGAAGAAGTGAAGGTTAGAAAGAGCCTCCACTAGCATGGAGAGAACCACAACTAATGTCTGCATCACAAAAGTGGGAGATGAATAGAAAATGACCTAGAATCATTTGTTCAACTCTTACTTTTGCCTCATGCTGAAGCCCACACCCCTGTTTACCTCTGCCATAAACCAAAACCAAAAACCAAACCCACTGCCATCAAGTCAATTCCTACTCATAGTGACCCCCATTGGGTTTCTGAGACAGTAAATCTTTATGGAAGTAGATTGCCTGGTCTTCCTTCCATGGAGTGGCTGGTGGGTTTGAACCACCAACCTTCTGGTTAGCAGTCAGATGCCTTAGGCACTGTGCTATGAGCTCCTTACCTCTGCCTTAGATATAGAAATAACTGCTGCTTCTCCTACTTTCCAAAATCATATTTTTGTCATTTGTACACTACAACTAACTCAGAGGGATTGTTCTGCCTTTTCATTCCAGAGGAAATAATTCCCTGAAAATAAAACATCCTACTTACCACAAAGATAACCTCATTTAAATCATTGCCACAATAGTTTTTGTCTAAGGTAGACATAGTCTCACAAATGGACAGATGTGGCATACTTAATAGTTTATAACCTCAAAAGCTCCAGATACGTTTTACAAATCTGATTTATCTCCAAGATAAAGAGTCTATATTTATTGTCTAGTGTTTAGTTTAAAATAGTAAAATTAGATGGATACATTGCTTATATATGTGATTCTCAATGGTAATTATCCATCAGTATCCTTATATTACAACATGAACTAGATTATTACCTTATTTTTATGCAAATAACACACACACTATACGTATGTTGCCAGCCATGCCCTCCCCGAGGTATTTTTTTGTAAGCATACTATGTTAATTTTTACATATAACTGGAAATATATATATATATATATATATATATATATATACACACATACACACACACACATATATATATGCTTATGAAAATATCTTAGGGGAGCACAGTTGGCAAAAAACATATAATGCACAAGTACTTGCATAAAAATACATTAGTCATGAGTAGTAGTAGACTAACTGTTACTTAAAGGAAAGCTTCTTAAAATCTTTTTTTAAAAGTATAGTTAGTAAATATGTATGGAACTTCAGGAGTGTAAACATTGTGATGTGTTATTTTTCAACAAAACATAGTTC